CTCCTAATTTTCACTGCAACAGGCTGCCAGGCGTCAAGAAAACCATGCTCACCGACCTGAACCCCCAGGAGTTTGCCAGACCTCTGAATCTGATAACGGGAAACATCAAGCCCCCGACCACGGAAGGCCTCCAGGACATCCTTTTTCTCCACCGTATTCAAAACAACAATGACACATTTCTTATAGTTAAGCGTGAGCCCTGTTACCTTACCTGACAGCACAAGCCTTACCAATACCTGCGGCAGGGTCTTGCAGGGGTTGCGTGCGACTAAGTAAATGTCATCGGCGAAGGCGCCGATCTGAAATACACGACGCTCCTGCAGCTGTAATGCGTAGCGGAGCACTGGATCCAGCACAAGCGCAAAGAGCACACCATTGAGTGGACATCCCTGTTTCATCCCACGAAAGGAATAGAATCCATGCCTCCCTCCACCCCATACTATTGGAGTCCATATATCGTCATGCAGTTCCTCTATCGCATTGATGAGATAGGGTGGCAATTTCATACGAATCAGTACGCAATTGACCCAGCTGCAAAAAACACTCGGGAAGGCGCTCTTGAAATCGAAGAGCGCGAAGCCGCACCCCGTGTGCCTACAGACGGTGCCCCAAAGCGTGAGCAGACGGTCAGTATTGATGGCATCGTCATTCATCACCCCCCCTTGACGAACCCCCGCTGGACGACGTGGCAGGTTTCAGCAGCGACATGATTTGATACCGAAGCGATGGCGGAGCCGAGGAGCTTGCTATCAGTATTCGAAAGCGATAGCGGTCGAACGACATGTGGATCACGGACCTCCTCCCCTCCCTGGACAACATCGCCTTTAGGCAAAACTACAGCCCTGCAATGGTTAAAGCTGGGGGCGACCCTGCCACCAGAAAGGGTGCGGCAGTACAGGGCATAAAGCGCAGCACGCGTCTTCTTACCTGTCCTTTGCCAGGCGGAATAGGGAACGCCATCGGGGCCCGTGGCTGTGTCACGCTTGAAATCGATCAAGCCGTTGAAATGCTCCTCGGTCAGGACCCAGTCGAATCTCTGGTGGCTACTGGTGACATATCGAGGCCCCGTACCGTCAACCTCCTGGATGTGCTGAAATAGAACGTGCTCAGACCCAAGACAACCTTCATCTTCGTTGTCAAAGACTTGGCCCCAGTAGTCAGCCAGAAGCCTAGCAGCCTCTTCAGGGTCAGTATGGACCTCTCCCTGAGGTCCTCGGACACCAACAAGCTTAATACGAGGCCGCCGTGCAGCCCATGCAGCAGAGAGACGCTTGACTCGACGAATGGCCTGCTCAGCAGCTTCCGAACCTAGCTCTTTGTTCTCGCACACCTCCCTCTCCTCCTCCTGGTACCCCTCGCGCATCATGGCACTGAGATGCTCATGGAATCGCCCTTGATCGAGCCATGTCATCGTCTCGGGGTTAAAAAGCGCGAAGAGGTGCCTGTAGCCCAGACAAGCACGCCGAGCATGATAGAAGCTGCCAGACCGCGCCGCACGGACAAGCTTGATACAGCAGGCTGCCTTCTCTGGCCTCGTGCGGGCGCCTGAGATCTCGACATGCCTCCGAGTGTGGCCAGCGGCAATGTGAAATATCTCTTTAACTTCCTGCACAGCAGTGTGTGTGTGTATGTGTATGTGTGTGTGTGTGTGTTTGTGTGTGTGTGTGTGTGCGTGTGGGTGTGGGTGTGTGTGTGTGTGTGTGGGTGTGGTGGTGGCGGTGGTGTGTGTGTGTGTGTGTGTGTGGTGTGTGTGTGTGTTGTGTGGTGTGTTTGCGACCGGGTGTGGTTTTGGTGGTGTGGTGTGTCGTGGTGTGTGTGTGTGTGCGTGTGTGGGTGTGTGTTTGTTGTGTGTGTGTGTTGGTGTGTGTGTGTGTGTGTGTGTGTGTGTGTGTGTGTGTGTGTGTGTGTTGTGGTGTGTGTGTGTTTGTGTGTGTCGTGCGTGGTGGTGGTGGTGGTGGTGGTGGGGGGGGGGGGGGGGGGGGGGGGGGGGGGGGGGGGGGACCGTGAAAGCCCAGTGGTAGCGATAAGGTCCTCGACAAACTCACCGAACTGCGGATGCTTGGCCACCCACGGGGGTATAGAGCCTTGACCTGTCACTGCAGGCCGCGGAGCATGCAAGCACAGGAAAACTGGAACGTGGTCAGAGGGCTTGCCCCTGTCTGTAACCTCCCAGAGGACTCCAGTATTAGGCCGATAGTCTAGTAGCGTGACAGTGTCAGTGTTGCAGTATATGCGATCGAGACGAGCGTATGTCAGCTTATTGCGTATGCATGCACGATGAGTATAGGCTGGTTGTTCGACTTCGGAGTAATGGGGAAAGAGATAGTCAAATATGGTAGCTAAACGAGATGGCGATGTCTTAGGAACAGGTGGTTCAAGATAGCGTCTGCATTCTCCATGTTCATGGAAATTAAAGCCCCCTAGCAGAATACTCATAGCCTGGAACTGCGGGAGCAAGGAACGAGACAGAGAATGGATAATACCGCGTGTTGCTCGTTCAGACCACTCAGGATCCAGATGGGCACTCGTAACCTGCAATGCACCTTTCGGGCCCTGAAGAGTAATCGTGAGCATGCGACCTGCCACGAGCGCGTGCGAATCTATCATCGTGAACTGCTCGGCGAGCTCTCCCTGACCAGCAGCACTGTACCTCCAGCATGGGCCTCCTGAGTGAAGGAACCGAAGGCTCGGAATCTCGGAAAGTCGCGGGTCAGAGTCTCAAGGTCCCCTTCCTGACCATGGGTCTCCTGCGCAACAATTACATCCATCTTCCGTGCAATGCTGGCCAGAGCTTTAAATTTAGACGCACCGTGCTTGTGGGGGGCAGAAATGGAGTGGAAAAGAGTCTGGGCATTCCAGGTGCATACTCGAAGCGGCTGCGCAAGCAAGAATGGTTTTGTGGACGCTTCTGGTCCACTCGAATCTGTGCTATCTACTGTACTCCATGCTGAGCTGGAACATTGCGTCGATGGAGTGGCCGAGGGACAGGTACTGGCCGAAAGAGAAGCGCATGAGTCTCCGACTACGCTGGTAGTGCTTTCATGCTCCCAAAAAGATTGGCCATGATTGTCATCGACGCTCGACGAGTATGCCAGCTGCTCATCCTAGATGTAGGCGGCCTTGTTCTGGACATCTTCCATGATCCTGTTCAGCTTGTCGGTGTCCAGGGAGAAGAAAGAGACGGTGTCTTGATCTATGTCGAACGTGAACGACGCATGGTTGACGTCCGAGCAGCTGACCAGCGGCCAAACATCATTTCCATCTGACCAGTGAATCGTGCCCTTGTACCCGTTGATGACGGGCTTCGAACCTGCAGTGTACCGTGGGCTGGCTCCGAAGAGCTCGATGATGGGGTCCCATACCTTGCTGAGCGCCCTCTGTGTGGTCCTGACGTCTTTCGGCAGGTCAGATCTGGCTTTCATGTAGTGCATCGATCCATCTCGCGGGTCCATCCACTGGTTGTCCGAGTTGTTGAAGACCTCCGTGAACTCCTTCGCCATGGCTTCGCTGGAGAAGGTGAGGGAGTAGCTCTGGCTGATGCGATGGTACTGCGGCGTGACATTGTTCATCATGACCGGCGTCAGGATGTTGTCCTTCCACGATGCAAAATGTGCTTGTCTCATGCTTGCTAAAATCGCACGAGGGAATGTGCCGATCCAGCGTCGACACTTGTCATATTGATAAGATCGCGAAATGTGCCAATTGGGTGATGCATTCTCCGATGCTGACGTGCGCTGGATTTTGGCAGCTGGCTCAGTAAGCCGACTGGCCCACGTACTACCATCTGCAGATCCTCCAGCAGAGCTTGTTGCTGAGGTCGATGCTTCATGCTGAAGACGAGCAATGGCGGCACTATGCTTCTGTAGCGTTTCCCGAATCTGGACTATGTGATGTGTCTGCGCCGTCATGCCAGCGTTCTGCTCGGCAATCTTCCGCTCCAGCCCCTGGGACAGTTGCGCGAAATGCGTGGCGAAGGTCTGCGTGAGCGTGGTGCCCAGGGAGTCTATCTGCGCTTTCATGGAAACCTCCAGGGCAGCCTGGACTTGCCTCACGATCTCCTCGGCCATGGCAGAAACTGGACTGGGATGAGAAAAGATGGGGTTGTGTCCGCTCGGGCTCGCACCCGAATTGCCCTCTGAAGAGAGCTGCCCACTCAATGATATGTGAAGTAAGTACTCCCCAATACCCACCACACCCGCCTTGAGCCAAAATGGCAACGGAAGGAGGACGATGGGGGAGGAGGAGGAGGAGGAGGAGGAGGGGGAGGAGGAAGAGGATGAGGAGGAGAGGGGGAGGAGGAAAGAGTAGGAGGAGGTATGGGGAGGGAGGAGGGAGGGATCCAAGAAGGCCCCAAGAGGGCCCTAAGAGTGGCCCAGAGAGACCCCAAGAAGGCCCCCAAAGCAGCCCCTTCCGAACAATATAATATGTTTCGGTTGTGTTCCCGCCCCCTTCCAAAACATGAAATATGTTTCGGTTGCTCTTTCCTCTTGCTGCCGTTTCGGGCTCTTTTAGGGCCCCTTGTAGGACGCCAGTCCACTGGACCCACCAGCACCCCTCGAAAGTAACGGCAGTTTCGCAGATCGGAGCCCCCCCCCAGGGATGGCGAGGTCCAATCTGAGCCCCCATAGGACGTCACTCTGCTGCCCCCCCCCTGCAGCCCTCTAAAGTTGGCCCTTCTAGGGCTTATAATGGACGCCAAGAAAAGCCAATAAGGGCCCCAGGAGGGTTCCAAGAAGGCCCCAAGAGGGCCCTAAGAGTGGCCCAGAGAGACCCCACGAAGGCCCCAAAAGCAGCCCCTTCCGAAACATCAAATATTGTTCGGTTGTTCTTCCCGCCCCCATCCGGAAAAAAACAGATTTGTCGGTTGCTTTTCCCTCTTGCTGCCGTTTCGGGCTCTTTTAGGGCCCCTTGTAGGACGCCAGTCCACTGGACCCACCAGCACCCCTCGAAAGTGGCGACAGTTTCGCAGATCGCAGCCCCCCCCCCCAGGGATGGCGAGG